TCCAAAAAAAAAATAAAATTTTGCAAGGGAAAAACTGAAAAAAAAATATCTGGCTTTTTTCTTTTTTTTTTTAAAAAAAAAAAAAAAAAAAAAAAAAATCTTGTCCATCATATATATATTTTAAAAAATGAGCAAAAAAATTAATCAAAAGGCATTGAGCCAAACTTACAAAACAAACTCTTTTTTTTTGTACTAGTTAGTTTTTATTGCACCTAAGTATTCCTTGTAAATGAGTTTCACTTGGAGTATCATACTAAGTTTTTTTTTTTTTTTAGTTCAGGTGTAGTGTGTACTCAATTTCATGCCACCATCAGGGGGGGAACTTTTTCCCTTTCTTTTCCCATTAGAGGTTGTTCAGATTCTATTGAAGGGATACTTAGTAGGAACTTGTCAAGTATTTATTTTGTCATTTTGTATAATGCTTTTGCAAAATGTCTCATAATAAAAAGTATTCAAAGAGATAAGAGTTTGAATTTCTTGATTAGAAATATTTTAATAAGACTTTCTGTTTTAATTTATTATCTATTCTCCCTTTCAAAAATACAGATGATGCATTTTTTTTTCTTTGGAATAGTTAAATGAAGACCAGGATATACATAGAATTTAAGGTGTCTGCAGTCCACAGTTTTTATATTTTGTGCTTATATATATATATATTCTGCTTTTATCTCGGGCCACTTTAGTACTATTTTCAAATAATAATGAACTAATTTTTATGTGGTCTTTTTTGGAAAAAAAGAAAAAAAAATCCTCTATTTAAAAACAATTTGTCTATCAATGGGCAATTTGAAGCACTCGGAGTCAACTTAAACAACTACACAAACAAAACACAATTTACTTTATGCCAACTTAAGTCCTCAGATCATTTCACCAATTTCTTTAAATTATTTCAAGAGTGAAATTAGTATTCCTGATTTTATTTCAATTAAGCCTAAAACAGTTTTTTGCATCATACTTGTTTTACAGCTACTCCAAAGGTCCAGAAATCTTTAAAATGTGTTTGGTTGTTGTTGTTGTTTGTTTGTTTTTAAAAGTTGGATAAGCTTATAACCATCAAGTTCTTGTACTTCATTATTCGGTCTATTTACAACTATGTGTATATATATATATATATACACACACACACACACACACACACACACACACAC